GCGGGACCGAGGGAGAGATGATTGTTCCTTCCCTCTCCTCTCTTTCCCGGCCTCGCTGCTTCCTGGGTGACCTTGGATCTGTCCCTTCTCCTCCCTGCTCCAGTCTCCCCCTCTGCACAGAACAGCCTGGCCTTGGGGGCAGGATTTCCCTGCCTCTGGGTGTGGGGAGCTGCAAATCGATGCTCGGATCTCCCAGCCCGATCCTGAGGGAGGATTTCCACCTCCTGAAATTCCTCTGTGCCTCTGCCACCTCTCCCTTCCCCGCTCTGTGACCTTGATGGGGTGAGCAGGACCTTCCTGGGCCTGGTGAGCTGGATCCTTCACCAGGAGCTTCGTCAGGAGCATCTTCCTCTCTCCTTCAGGGGGATTTGAGTGGAAGCTCTGCAGCAGCTGAAGGGGGGTTGATGCTGGGACAGGAAGGGACAGCAGAGAGTCCCTAAGGCTTTAAATATTCATTTTAAACTCATCCAATCGCACCTCGTGGTTTTTACCTGCCTCAGTTTCCCTTTATAGACCCAAACAGGTGTAAATGTAGAATTTGGGCCCAGGGGAGGAGAAATCTCCCCCTGTCCCATCCTTTGGACCCAGACTGTGTTGGCAGCTGTGAATCCCCCTCTCCCCCCTGCCTGTCTCTGCCCTCCCAGGCCCAGCTGGAAGCTTTGCTGAGCTGGTTCCAGCCTCTGTGGCTCCCCAGTCCTGAGGTGGCTGGGCTCAGCAGGGCACATCCCAACATCCCTCCCCCACACCCCGGGGTGCTGCTGCAGGGCCGTGGTGTCCTCGGCTCCTGGGGGTCTGCCCTCATCCCAAACAGCAGCTTTGCCCTAGTCCATGTTTTTGGGATCAGTGGGAGCCTCTGGGCAGGGATTAAACCCTCTGGGTGTAGCAAAGCAGGAGCTTCTTCAACCCTGTGTGGGGTGAATCCAGCTTGTTCCATGGCAAACCATGGATCTGCTGCAGTGATGGCTCAATCCCAAGGGATACAGTCCTTGTGGACCCACCTGGACAGGCTTGGGGGGGAGGTGTCACCTGGACAGGCTTGGGGGGGAGGTGTCACCTGGACAGGGGACAGGGATGGGGAGGGTCACTTTGTGCAAGCTGGAGCCCCAGGCTCAGCTCTGGGATCAGGGCTTAGGGAATGGCTGCTTTGCAAGGGGTTGGACATGAAGGAACCCCCTGGGCCCAGGAAGTGGGACATGGAGCACGAGGAGGGGAGTTGTCCCCAGGGAGAGCCCCAGTGCCTCCCCTTGTAGCTCCCATGGGATGTGTTGGCTGCACTCAGAGACACCAGGACCAACCCCAGTACAAACTGGTCCTTCCCCCTCTCCTGCTGTGGGAAAATCCCTGTTCCCTCTCCAGCTGGGTGGCAGCAGCTCTGGTTTGACCTGGGCAAAGCTGGGGGTGCAAAGGCAACCCTGGCCTGGCAGCACAAGTGAGGTTCCTGCTCTGGAAGACCCTCATCTGTCTTCTCCAGAGAGAGAAAAAAGGCACATTTAAGAAAATTAAGGTCACGAGGACTAAGTAAACAAGCTGAATCTCCATCTGTCAGTGACAAGGGTTTTCTCTCTCTCTCCAGCCCGGAAAGCTCCTGGTTGTCAGCTGATTTGCCTCGTCTTTCTCACAGGGTGGTTGTTATTTTTGGCGGATGAATTTTTGATTAAATTCCCTTCTCAATCAAAGAAATGCATGGAAATACCTCTCTCAGATGGATTTGGACTGTGCTTTTCAATTTGAGGGGTGGGGACCTTGGAGCTGATAGGACATGCTGGGGAAAGGACTAGGAAGAGCTCTGCTGGCCCTGCTTTCCCTGGGTAGTGTCCCTGTGCCGGGGGGTTGGTGGTTCCAGGCTGGTTCTGGCTGGGATCATCCCACGGTTCCAGCAGGAATGGGGATGGCAAAGGCTGGGTGAGCTCACGGCATCGCTGTCGGGAAGGATCCTCTCTCCCTCAGGCCTTGGCAACACCTTCATCCCCAGGCTGGGGCTGAGCCACTGGGAGACAGCAGGATGTTCCCAAGAAAGCCATGGGGACACTGCCAGAGCCATTCCAGGAGCAGGGTTTGGATCCTGGATGTTCCCAAGAAAGCCATGGGGACACTGCCAGAGCCATTCCAGGAGCAGGGTTTGGATCCTGGATGTTCCCAAGA